TCGTTTCTAGAATCCCACAGTAAACGAAGGAATTCCTAAAGGCGCTGAAATAAGATGGAACACCATCTAGTACAACTGTGTTAGTACATTCATTGACCACCAGGAACATTATGCTCTCCAATCACATTCGAAGCCTCCAATAGGTCGAAGGAATCGCGTTAACGACCATGTCCGGTGTACTCATTAGTTAGCACAAACGTTTATTCACCACCGGGACGTGCGACATTTATACTTTGGACCATCTTTAATTCCCTACCACCAAACCTCCTGAGAAACACGAGGACAGCTCGCTTCCTTTTCTAATAGTCTGATGGCCAGTTTCGTTCATTTTATGTTCGCATGTCGTTCGCTGCTCTACGTAATACAGAACTAATATTTGCCAACATGCCTCTGACGGCAGCTGGACTTTAACTCCATGAATTCCTGATTTGTTTGCCCAGATTCAGGTCCGTGTCTATTGTACCCCCGTCCCCCGACAACTCGGACATACTGTCGTCCAAAGTAGTACATAGCTCTGCTACACGCACTGTGCAAGGATTGGAATCTACAATGCGTGAGCGATCTCATGAAATGTCGAACAAAGTTCTGAAATGTGTTTTCGATTAGGAAGGATTTTTTAGGTGGGGTTGTAATAAGGAGGTTTTATGTTATGGTGTGAGTGCTGCCTGTGACTGTTCTCAGGGCATTGTGACGTCATGAAATCACCACCTGGGAGCCGGGCACATCCAAATCTCGCACAAATAAAGACAGTTTTTGCTAAACTGTCAAATCATAGATGTTTTGGCAAATTTTGAATGATTCATATTGGCCCAACTGTAAAAAATTCGACGCCTCGGTGGAATTTGAACCCACAAGTCGTCCAGCGGGACATCCAAGCTCAGGTTGTTAGAGCGTTGGCTGCTCTCAAGCCTTCCCGTTACTATCGTGGGTTCGAATCCTACCGAGGGGCCAAGTATTACACTGTTGGGTCAATATGAATCATTTAAAATCTGCCAAAACCTCTATGACTTACGTGAGCCTGGTAGTCATCCGTTGGATTCTAGGTGAATAACTTAGGAAATCCTGCTTGAACAAACAACTTACTATAGCAGATTCGGACGGTGCAGACGTTGCTGTGGGTTAGGCGGGTAACTTGACCCAAATAGGATTAAACTCAATTCGTCCGGCGGGGACTCCTACCTCAGGTAGTTTGAGCGTTGGCTGCACAAAAGCCTTTCCCTTACTGTCGTGGGTTCGAATCCCATTGATGAGCCAAATTTTCCACAGTTGGTCCAATATGAAACTGTAATGCCACTGAAAGGACGCTCTGACTACCAGGTCAACGAAAACGTCCTAGGCATTACCATTTACTTACAACTATGTCTTTTAGTTTTAACTGGGCATTATATATATAATAAGAAGATGTAAGGAATGAGCCTTGTCGTTACAATCCCGGAAAATTGAAGTTTTTATACTGTTAATTGACATGTTTAACTACTGAGTAGAAGGAATACAGTAAGAAAAACATGCCGAATAATGTCATCAGAATGTCGGCAGAGTAAAAATGAACCTTAACCGTCCGATATGTGACAGTTTTCAGAGCAGGTAATGTTATCCGGGTTTCGTGCACCTAGTTTTGCTGTTGTTTGTGTCATGGTGACAAAAATACGCTCCCAATATTTAGTTATCAAACCTTTGAATGTGAAATGATTCCAGTCAAAAACAACAGTCAAATGTTTGCTTTCGTGTGTTGCAATCGATGTCTTTGTAGCAGAAATATTCTCGTTAATCTGCTGCCTGAATTACTATGAATAGTTGTGCTAAAGGCTCAAACGCACATGAAAAATCGTGGACGTTTATCCGTCTACGCCTCACATTAATTGGCTAAATTCTTCTTATGGAGTCGTGATGACTGACCCGGGCATGACGCCTTCGCTTGTTGGCTAAGCAACCGCATTAAAACCGCAATGCGGAGTTGGAAAATCAGACGAAATGAACCACAGTCTAGCTTCATCTGCTCTGCTTTGGCTCGTCATTGCATTCCAAGTCGTGTTTTATAGTGCAGGTAAGTCCTACTGATTGATACCATGGAGCATTATTCAGAGGATTTACCAGAGTATTTTATTGTATATTAAGTATCTTGGGACGAGGTCTGTATTTACTTGCCGGAAACCTTGCAAGGCATTATATCTGCTACGTGGTTGTGCGTGTAGCTCGATCTATTGTC